TACTCGCAGCTTGGGTCAGCCGACCCGTGCTGCCATCGCACCTTAGGGTTACGGGACAGACGCAGGCTCTGCCTCCCTCCTGAAAGACACCCTGTATGTTATTGTAAGGGGGGAAAAAACTAAAACACCAGCAACTGCTGTGTTGACCATTCATATGGTCATACAAAATGACCATTCTTGCTAGCGCATGGGACTTGCTGCTCCTACACAAACGGCTGTGAATTTCACATAGATTTGGAGACCTTAATGCTGGCTGGCTGTTTTCTGTCCTGACACAATCAGGAAATTCAGATATTGATCTCTTTGGAAAACATGGTGCCAACTGCTGGCTGGTTCGACACGGAGAGATGCGCACCCCCGTGTACCGATCACGTACCCAGGCACAGCGTTTGGCCCTCCAAAACTGTTGACCGTTGCTGCAGTAATATCAAAGAAGCAAAGACGTCTAACATTTGTCGCAATGCTAAAATTGTAATGTGACTTCCCGCCACGCCGCATGCATCAGGCAGCGAGGGGGGAGGAGCACGCTTTGGTGTATGGGGTAGCCAGTACCCCCTTTGCTTCCCCAGCCCAGCTTGCACAGTACACGAGTTGATACTACAAGTCACCATGCAGTATGTTGCAATAAAGACGCACAGGATGCCATGCCATTTTCCGACTGAGAGTAGATCAGATGGCTTTATAATAACACAAGTAGCGTTTCTTGCAACAGAGACAGGACTTAGCTTTTGTAAATACCAGTGGGAGTCTTTATTTAGGATGCTGGAGGCTTTTCAGCTCACAAATTGTCTTGCTTTGCAAGGCCTAACTACATCCTGGAGTAGACTACATCCTGGAGTAGACTACACATTACAGTGACTAGCAATGTAAACTCACTCAGCTGCCTTCTCCCGAGCTGCCGGCGCGCGCTCCGCTCCGCTCCGGGCCGCTCTGGCTGCTGGCAGGAGCTTCACAACCTCCTCCTACAAAGCATGGACTTTAGAGGTGGGAGAACAAGCAAGCAAGAACAGGGCCAGAGGGAGTTCAAATAGCTAAACAGGCTGCTAGCAGGATCACGGCTATGACTAAGCCCGCACCAGAGAGCCCGCTCTCTTCCCACGCCCTCCTCCGGCCCGGGGCTCCCGCGCGGGCGGGCGACCGAGCACAACACAAATCCCCGTAAATTCAGGGAAGAAGTTTGCACCTGTGCAGTTTTCAGACTCAGGCCCGAACCACAAAAGTCAAACTTGGCCATGACATGAGCAGGTAAAAAACGTCAGAGGCTGCAGCGGGACCGTCTCTGCCTTTCGCCCCCGCTGCGCTCGGTGAGACCCGTGAGCACAGGCTTGCCTTGCCGCCTGCAGGGACCCTCACCGCAGCCGACGGGCGCAACCACCCCCGTAAAGACAGGCAAGTGCTTTAGCAGGAGCTCTAAACGAATGCAATGTAAATGCTTGCTTCAAACGCAGCTAGGTGGTGCTGTACAGTTTCAAAAGTTTTTAATGAATTTTTGTTAGCTAATTTGTCTTTAAAGGTCTTATTTAATGGAAAGAGGTTAAAGAGCACAAAATAAAAATGAAGCAAATCATTATTGGAAAGTATTTTTTTAGAAATACTCTCCTGTAACATTTTTTGCCGCTCTACTCTTTTCAGACATCCATTTTCATTTTCTTATCAAACCCCTCTTTTGCGAAACCCCACTATCTGACAGCATCTACATTCATCCTGAATTTGGTCTTTCTGCCAGAACAAGTTCAACTTACTAAGGTTCTACTGCTCTAACTGGGGAGCTATTCCACTTACATACAGTTTGTACATGGGGAGAAAAGTCCAATTATATTCTTGTAAAAAAGTCTATAGTAGCATAAAGACCTACACCAAACTGCATTTTCTTTATAGGATAAAAAGAAAGCGCTTTCAATACAATCCTAATAACCTTTAATTTGGCAAGCAATTGTAATGTCTATTATTACTGTTTTGAAAAGTGCTGTTTTTGTAAAATGTAATTAAAAATGTTCTAAAACAAAAGCATGGAAAAAGAGGACCTCAAAATCTCAGTCGTTACAGACATTAAAGACCTATTCTTCCAGTAATTTCACTAAGATAGTATGTTTAAATTTAAAAAACCAAGAACTAAATAACAACATATTTAGCAAAGCCAATAAAGAAAGGCTGCAGAGAGAAAACCAAAAAGCTTGCCATTAATTTGAGGTTTTCAGGACTGCTTACAAAAGAAGGTAAGTCCTTTGTGAGCACGTCTCCCTTTGGAGAAATCTGCTCTGAATATCCAGATCTCTATTTCCAACCTAAAGGCTTTAAAGGTGTAAGCACCTCTTCCTTACGTTGCGGCCCCCAATGTTTTCTAAGTGTCCCAGGCTGCTTTCAACGCTATTTCCTCTCGCTCGTTTACCTCCAGACGCGGAAGAAAGAGAGAGAGCAATGCTCTTCGCTTCCTTGTGGCTAGCCAACTGATGGCACAGACGCTGCTATTGTTCCTCGGAGCACATCCCAGCGTGAGGACTTTTGGTGGGTTTCTTTTTGCATTGTATGCAAATGCACTGACATTACAAAACACTAGAGCAACTTACTGTACTCTAATACAGCATCAGAAAAGTTCAGCCAATTGGTGTCATGAGCCCAGTAACAAATGTACTTCTACCTGCTGCCAAGAAATGTCAAACTGCATTTCTAAATACAGTATAAACAAATGTTACCCTGAAATAACCACAAATTATGGCACAGTCCCAAAGGCAAACGGACTGCAGGCTCGAAATAACCATTCCACAAAAAGATTATTTTGTGAAATTCACCATTTTCAAAGGTGGTTAGAACTGTAATTGGAGCATTTACAAGGCTACTGGCCATGATGGTGATATCCTTGACAAAATTTACTTAGTTTACACATTGTTCCTGAGGAAAACAGACTATTTATGTTCTCTGCGGAAGCTGATTAATAATACTGTGCAAAACATAGCATCATCAGCGGGAGTTCTGCCTAACAGAAGAAACACATCCTTTGCAATTGTTAAAACTGTTTGTTTCCTTAAAGCAGTGTAAAGGAAGCTTGTACAATATGAGTCATTATATAGAGCTGAACCTTAAGAAACAGAACAATAAACAAACAAAGAAACCATCTCTGGAAAATCCACAACTCAGAGGTACTCATGTAAGATATGAATCTGACTTTATTTTAGTTCAAGAGCAAAGGCTGCAGGTTATAGAGCTGGGATCAGAGTGGAGAACAACCCCAGGTACTCTGCTTTTCTCCCCAGTCAAGCCTAGACACGTTCTGTTAGGCAAACCAAGGCAGACTGGGAATTAATCGGTGATAGTTGCTCTGGATTTATACACAGCTGCAAAACACAAATTGGTCCTTACACTGCTATTATAGCCAGCAAGACACAGACCACTTCTGCAACTGTTGAGTCCGTCTCTTCACGCTGCCTCTTCCAAGGACGGCAATGTGCAGAGACAGATGGCTCTGCTCAACGCTAGTTGAGAGAAAAGACCAAACGCTCTTTGTTTTTTTCATGAAAATTCCACTCTATATTAGCTTTGTGGTTATCCTTGCCTAAAACAATGGCTAATCGTGACATAAGTAACAGCTACTAATTGTACCTGGCAAAAATCTGGATGCCCCAAACTAAAAGCGCTCAGACGAGCTAAGGACACGTCCTTGGCGTTACCTGCCGCAGCAGCTCCTCCTGCCGCATCCTGATGCGCTCCCTCTCCCTCTGGAATGGCTGTGCCGGCCGCTATTTGGTGCTGGTGATTCAAAACTGTGTGAAAGAACAGAAATCACCGCTGGTGAAGTAGAATTGTACTGTGAGATAACAGAGGGCTAAGGACACGTGGTGGTCACTTACAGCGAGCATGCAGTTGTTACTAATACCAAAATGACTGAAATAACCACTCCACCTGGCAAGATTTGATACTAGTAACTGCATAATCAATAAGCTGCAATATTTCACATGTATATAAAACATGCAGAATAATACTACAACACATATTTATACACATCCTGCTATGTTCAAATATTTACGTAATGATATGCAATAAATGATATGCAATAAATGATATGCATGTTTTTAACTGAAAATTCCTTAATGATTGAGTGCCTATAATATGCAGTAAGTAACTAAAATGTTTTCAACATTTACATTTTCTTTATTGACAAATCTGAATTAACTATTGTATAAAAAACCAGCAGCACAACTAACAAGCACAGTTTTACAAGCAGCGGTGTTTTCCACCGCCCTGAAGGAGAGGCACAGGGGGCGAGAGATGCTCCGCTCTGGCTAAGAAGCAAACCGCGGAGGAGCTTCTGCTCTCCGGCAGGCTATCGCCTCCCTGCGCTACCCTGGATGAGTCACGCTCTCTGGGCATTCATCTATAAACGAGGGGTTAATATTAATTTTCTATCTCACAGAAGCATTATAAACACAGTAAAGAACTTGAGGAGCTCACACATGGCAGTAATGAAAAGTAGCATTAGGACTTTCACTGAAGGACAAATCATTGTCTAACGCGATCCAGAGAGAGGCTGGACGGCCAGAAGTTAAAAAAGCAGCGTGAGCAGAAGGTAGCAGCCACGAACAGGAACTACAGCGAACCGTCTTTCCACACCGTCCTTAACATACTTGCACTTCATTTTTCAAAGTAGGTGAAACAATAAATACACGGAAAAGACAGTTAAATGGTATTTCTGATACATTCATAAGAAAAAGTAGTAGTGAGAATTGGTACAGCTCTACTGGCACTTGCTCACTTCTCCCAACAGATGGTTTTGTCTCTTCTGAACAAAGACTGAGCCTTTTTCCCAAAGGGCCTCAGACGTTTTGCGTTTTGGGCTGCAGTGAGTGGAAAGCTAGCCCTCTCTGTTTATAGCATAAGAATTATTACCAAGGGCAAAACAGTGTAATCTGCAAGTTACTGGTACATTATACGAATTTCTTTAGCAGATTCCGCAGAAATATTTATCAACCTTGTATTGAAAGACTAGCCCAAAGTCATTGCTGTTTCAAGCAGTTACATCAGGCCAGAACTAAGTTTAATGAGTTCTCAAACGTGAGCCTGTACAAAATTAATCAAACAAGAGAGGCCAAGTTCAGGCCTGGTGTAACTCCTCTCAACATAAGTCATACAAGCTTGAAATTACAATTCATGGTCTCATTTTCAAAATGAAAATGGCCTAATAAATTAGAGACTAAAATGACTGATGTTAGGCCTGATTTAACACAACAGAGGGATTTATAGCTCTTTCATGATATCTGGATATGCAAACAGCATATTGTGTAGTTAGCGTCTTCTGAAGATGACCAAGATAGCCTTCTGCACATCTCATCAACATGTGAAACCTTCTCTGCGGGAGTACTCAGATTTGGAGATGAACCACTAATGTCCCCCCCTTGCGAGGATATTCCCAACGTTCGTCTGGGGGTAACTCTGCAGAAGGCAGAGGAGCACGGGGAGCTTTTCCTAAGCACACCTGATCTACGTCCATGTAAACCAGCTTGACTCTTTCACTTGCAAACAGAAGAAGGCTGCTCAGACAGTAATGTTACTTAAACCAACACAGTCTTTTCTGGTCAAATTCAGAAACTATAAATCAGAGCAGAACTCTCCATCGGATGGGCATTTTTGCTGAGAAACCTGTTGCAAAAAAAGTTACAAGTCTTTGTGCAGCGGCACAGTTAATCTGATAATTGCACCACAGAGCCAAAATTTCAGCTGGCACCCTCAACAGAAAGGACAACTTGGTTGTGGGAACAGAACTACCTCTTCTCTTGAGAGATGCTTCTCTCCCAGCAGCAGGCTAGGACAAACCAGGAAGAAAAAGAGACCAAGATGGAAAACGGCATAGCCTCTGCTTGTTCCTCCATTTTATTTGTGAGTAAAATACATTAGTTCCCAGCAAGGCAGTCTAATGCCTTTCAAGAACCTTGTAACTTTCTTTCCTCCCACACCTTTACATTTCTAATTAAAACTGCGTACAGTACCTAAAGCCAGTCTGGATCATGGTGGCAGCCATGTACTTCTTTAAACATTCATCGACATTTTTTCAATGTCTTTTGCTAATGAGGCAATAACAAATAAAAAAGCTCTTCTCTTCCAACAAGAACACTCCAGGTAACCAAAATTATAGAAGAGGCACAAGATCTTTCTTTCCAGAGAACAAAGATTTGCATCTTCCTTTTTACCTCTCACTCACTATTGTTCTTGTCGTGTGAAAGCTGGATGCTCAGCTCAGATCCCCATTTCTCAGATATTGATATACTTAAGTTGTGGGCATGTCTGACCCTGAAGGGTAACCTGACCTTTCAGTACTGCATAAAATGAGAGAGAGGGGATGAACAACAGGGATCACTACAGAACAGCAAATACTCTTAAAAGTGTGATTATACCGCCTGGATCAAATATGCTATATCCAACTGATGCAAAATGCTGATCTGGAATTAAGCAACTGCCAGTTCCAAGGTAAACTTCTTCTGAGAGGCTGACTTCGTGCGAGCAGGCTTTATGCCTGATCGCATGTTGTCTGTCCTTCCACGACAGGAAGACAGCAGGGAGACGGGCACGGGGCAAGCATAAACTTTGCCCATTTGACAGAAGTGTTTACACGCACTCGCATCAGATCTGAATCAAATCTGTTTGCTGGGTGACCCAGTACTGCACAGGTCCAGTAACCACGGCTGTGAAACCATGATCTGAGAGCGCAGCTGCATATTTTAGCTTCAGTGGCAAACCCAGCCTGAGAAGTAATCTAAGGCAAGAGCAGCCCTGCGGTAACATAACCCTTCCACTGCTTCATTTTATGCGTGGTCCAGAAACAGCTGTATCCGCACAACTGACATCATGAAATCGGAGTATGGCCTGTTATCACTCTTCCACACCCAGCTGCTCGCTCCTGCCCACATGCTGCCTCTTTACTGGGCTGACAAGCATTTTTGTGGCCACATGGCCAACTAAAAAATGCTTGGGGAATAAAAGGAGGTATTTTCAGCTGTAGCAGTTCCCAGCCAAAGTCACTGGGTAGCCATGTAAACGCTTGTGCTGAACCAACCTAGATCTGCAGGCGGGAAGGAGAAGCTGGTTGCAGTCAACAGGCACCTGATGACACCAGCACTGACTAGCGGCAAAACCCTGAACGGTTAAACAACTGCGGTACCAAGAGGGGAAAGGCTGGGATGAGATCCGGGTGCAGGAACCAAACCACTTTCCTAACAGGGAAACAACATATGGAACCACACCTTAAGACACCGTGGGTCTAGTCTCTTCTCATTCACACTACAATAAATAATACTGTATGTAAAATGACATAAATCATATTAACGTAAAACTGGTGTTAAATTTCCAGGACCACAAACGCTTAGGCAGGTATTTCACTCTTGTCACGCATAAGCATCTGCTTAAATCTTTGGCATGCTAGGGGCTGAGGGACAGGGCAATCGTGCTCAGGATCCGTGCTGGCTGGAGGATTACCACAATATAGCAAGTTCTCCTTAAGAAAATGGTTTTCATCTAAGCAATACATGCAAATGATACAACCAGGCAAAGTCAAGTTCAGATTCGTGGCCTGTACAGCATGTCCGGGGGACGCTCAGGGCTAGAGCCTGAACTGTAACGTCGCTTGTCACGGAGCGATCTGTGGCCTTTGCTGTGTTCAGTTCTGCAGAGAGCGCAGCCTCCTGCTCTTCACCGCCGACGGCACCCACGCTGCCCCACCGGCAGAACTGCAGCGACACGGCAACGCCGGGGATGCTTGTCCCGGGCGATGACCCCAAGACCTCGCCAAGCTGTTTCTTCTTCTCGCGAAGAGGGCAGAAGGTTTTGGTTCAGTCAGCTCTAAATCTAGGAGGCGTAACTCGCTCTTCTTGCAAGCAGGGCTCTCCGTGGGAACGTACGCCGAGGGACGACACGAGGCTCCCTTCAGTGGACGGAGTGAACGCTGCCCCGCCTGACCTTCGGGCACAGCAATTACAGCCCGCTGATTCTCCCACAAGCAAAGTTTTGCAGCGCGTGATCGTACTGCTAAGAAACAACAAAAATCCATTCCACTTCTGAAAAAAGTGATTTACATCATCTCGATTCGCTAAGGACACATCTACGGGACAGTTTTACGGGTTTCGGGGCCGGAGGCGCACAGAAGGCCGCGGGGCGGCAGGAGCCCCCCAGCCAGCTCCACCACCCGCACCGCTCGGCCCCGCTGCCCCTTCCTCCGGCCCCTCTCCACAGAGGCCCGTGCATCCCAGGCCTTTCGACACAGGTCCAGAGACACAGCTCTGGTCAAAACTGCCACCACCTGGAAGAGCCTTCAGAAGGCCGGCTGAGGTACGACTCAGAGAGAGGAGCTAACCCAGCGTCGTTTGAACCTGCTGACACCGCGTTCTTCTCCAGCAGACGCTGCTTGCAGAAGAAAACGGGATTCAGGTAACTCTCCCTTCGGCGTGCAGGCCAGGCACCTGCTTTCACAGCAGCTCAGAAAAACCCAATACAGAGGAGCCACGGGTCTGCGCTTTCACACAACTACAGACAGCTTCGTCACGGTATCTGCTAAAATATGCTTATTGATAAAGTCTAATTTAAAACGAGCCATTAAACTGATATGGCAATAAAATCACTTTTTTAATCATTCAAAACTAATTCATGAGTGCACAAACGGGAAGGCCAAAATTCTGATCTCACCGGCTGTCTAACAGCGTCCTTCCACTTGACTTACTCCTGAGCGCAATCACAGCGACGCCCCGCAAGCAAATTCAGGACACGAGGTCTACTTTTGTGAAGTCAAAACTAGTTTTTATGTATGTTCGTGCATACATAGTGCACATTCAGTCAATCTAGCACAAATATTTACAGGAAACAAAAATAGCATAAGGCAATTCTTTTTCTTTTCTGTATTAGGCAATTCTTTCTGTTTTCTGTCCGTTAACTAGAAGACAAAATGAACCCAAAATCTAGCACACAGCGTAGTATACTATGGGACATTCTGCGGCACTTCCCACAGCAACTGCTGCATTCAGCTGCTCTAAAAATATATCCTGGGGTCAAAATGTTATATGTACAGTAATAAAACAGCTGAGTCCAGGAACTAGCTGAAGGGTAATTAGATCATGGTAAATTTGTAGGTACCCTTTTGCACTGATTCCACTGAAAGGCGCTATACACTGTTATGAGCAAACCTTTAGTTAAGTTCTTCAAATTGTAGGGCTTTTCTGTAGCAGCCATTCATATGCTATGGCGTGCGGGACGCGTCCTCTGCAAAACAGCCCGTGCCAATCAGTGGTCCTATGGACGTTCGGAAAGCCGTGGCCCTCACCTCCCTGGGGCTGCTGAAGCCTGGGCTGTCCGAACAGCAGCCCATCAGCCCCAGCTGGAAGAGCCCCCACAGGATAAATCACGAGGGCAGACAAGACTACAGCGTTCAGGAGAGACTGTTGACGTTCCCCTAGCGAAACGCCTTCGAGTTGCAGGGAAAACCTAACTGAACCATCCAGGAAAACGAACTAAATAGTAACAGCCAGTACAGCAGAGCAAAGCAAGAATACCAAATTCGGCTACGGGTACCCTGAATTAAGACAGAGACAGGCTGACTGAGAACGTAGCCCGGCAGGAATATGGAAGAGAGGGATAAAAACGCCAAGATTGTACACAACAGTCAAAAGACTGAGAGAAACAGAACCACTTGAAGGTTTTGGTGCCACAGACACCCTTGGGCAACTCTGAGAGTTGGGTACATGTAGCGATTGTAGGCACCAGTCATCTTCAGTGAAGAGGTTTGCAACTGCACAAGCAATTACAGTACTTTTGATATTAGGCAATCCAAAGACGCTCTGCTCCATGCGCTCCTGATTTACCTAAGACAAGCATTCTTCCTTTTATGGCGCTAAGAACAGCATCCAGCATTGATATTCTCCAGATAGGCCAGGAGTGAAACAGTTAAATTTGAAGGTACCAACATATTATTCAGCGTGTAGGTTCGTTCTGTTATTTATGCAGATCAGTACTAGCTGTATCTAACAGATCTGGATTAGTCCCGCGCTGGATCCAGGGCCGGTCAGGGTCCATAAGCAGCTGTATCACCTATAGGTCGTGCAAAGCCTACGCTCATAAATCCTTCTGTACCTTGTGGAAAGCATGCAGACACACCAAAGTATCTCTGCAACGTGCTCCTAGAACCGGCAGCTCTGGGCAGAATAGCACAGACATGCCAGTGTGCCACTCTATGTGACTTCTCCAGAGGCACTCTGGTCCTTCAGAGGCACATGTTGTTTGATCCCCAAGCTAAGCCTCCTTCAACTCATGGACGGCAGTGCAAAGACATCCACTTCATTTTGTGGAAGTATAATAGCACCAGCTTTGACAGGAACATACCACACCTGGGCTGGATCTTCACACAATTTCAGATCTGCAGTTCTCTGCATGATGCTCCTAAGATAACAAAAGAGCTGACTATACTAGCCGAACGCAGACAGGCTTATACTGAAAACAGAAGTTTCCTACATCAACAGCTATTGATTTCTGAGAAATTCTGACCTGACCTAAGAATATAGGAAGACCTAAAGAAATGTCCAGGTCAAAAAACATGAAGAAGGTCTACCACTGATAAATCATCTTTCCAGGTTCCCTGCAAACCTAGCGGCAACTTGAGACAGACTATGCACTGTAAGGAAACGTGGCGATGTTGCAGACAGAGCCAGAGGAAACAAAGCCAGAGACAGGCACCGGCAGTGCTAATGCGAAACCCACAGCATGCTTATTCCTCATAAATGAGCTAACAGCCCTGAAATCTTACAGTTTTGCAGCGCATTAAAGCTACTGAATGGTGCTTCAGAAAACTTAAGGCAGTACTGCTGCATAAGCTGCACCCAAAAGCATTTGCTACCGGAGTCTTGACAAAGAAAGGAGAACGGGGACTTCTGGATGTGCTGAACAATTCCACTAGGAAGGTAGCTGGATACACAGCTTTGAGGTGCTTGGCAGAAATCTGTGCAAGTGGTGCACAGAGCATCTGAGCATACAGAGCAAATCAGCAATCTGGAGTTTACCATGCACGGTAGTTATAGCGAAAGTGCAGTAAGTCCATCCATGGCTTTTGGAAATTACAGTCCTACTGCACAGTGACTGCATAGCACTTGAATAGTAAACTAAATGCTTCCGTAAAGTGCCAGGCTGCCTATTCATACGCAGTTCAACTGATCTGATGTGTTTTTCAAGTAGGATGCCAGAAACTAGTAATTCCAAACAAATGTTAAAAAAAAAAAAAATCCTTACACCAGAATAAAGTCTGGGTGAAAAAGGAAGCCACACCTGAGGACATCTGGACATACTATAGCTCCACTGAGCTAGCTGCTCTGCTGGAGAGGAGATCGTAGATGTTGTCCAATGCCTAAAACTTCCTGACTGCATGGGGAGACTATGCCAAGGTACATGTGGAAATAAGCCAAAGTACTAGCAAATGATTTGTGTTTTGCTACATATGAAAAATTACTTCACGCCAAACAAATCTCCTTTATTATAAAAGACATCTTTATATATTGTAAAGTCAAAGAGTCTGCTCACATTGGCCCCATGCATGCTTCCTGATATCTTGTGACAAAAAATATGATCATCTTCCTTCACTGTGGCAAAAAAATTATGGAAGTTCCCAACGCATTAGTCCTGGAATGATATATTTAGAATGGGTGGGCCATCCCCAAAATAAATTAAATACAAAGTTCAGATTTTCTGGAAGCCTTTTACGTGACCTGTTTTTGGTTGAACATCATGATATACTTTTACCAAATGTATGCTAGCAAAACTGACACTGAGGTTTACAGACCCACGCAGGTTAGACATTGCCCTGGACAGGACAATTCCAAAAGTATGTCTCAATAGAATATTTGATTCTTGTCATTATTAAACTCTCGTTTACACAGTATTTGGTAAAGAAGTATGCTTTCATAGATAACTACCTGCATCCTTCCAGATTTTTTGTTTTCAACAGAATCAATACCATTAAAAGCTACAGTCACATTTGTATGATATAAATACAATTGTGCCAACACTTTTGATCGCTAAAACAATCTCCCTCTTTTCTCCCACCCCACTTGCCTTTTCTGTGCACAACGCCATATTAGTGTTTCCAGTTAGGTCTTATCCTGCCAAGGTATCTGCTTGTCAAAAACTAGCATCCAAGCAGAAATCTAGTCTCCTCAGAAGAGGTGTGGAAGCGTATGATCATGTAGTCTCTACAGGACCAAGAGTTATCACTGCTTTTCCCTTTTCATTGTGTGAGTTCTTCAAACAATAAGAAAGAAAACTATTTTGGGAGTAGAAGGTGGGTAGCTTTCCCTAAAGGTAGAGCCACAAAAACATGTAGTGGGAAACAAATATAGTACCTGGAACGCGTTTAAGCATGTTGGATATGGCTGGTATTGGCTAGATTTCAAATCAATAGTGGATCTTTAAATAGACTCTTTGAAATGAAAAGCATCCCAATAATGCAAAACTGTCCCTGTGCTCCATATGTAAATTCATTTTGAGAGAAGTCTTTTTACCTGACCAGGTTTGTTACTGTACTTTTCCTGGAACTACCCCAAACCGTTACGGACGAACTATCACCGTTCTTGACAGAGCCACAGAGTTGAACACGTTACAGTAAGACTTTTTTGGTACCTAGTTGATATCGCTGTGTCACTGAAAGGTCTGAAGGAGCCCAGCAAAGTCAAAGGGAAGTCTCACGTCAACTCCAATGAGCAACTTTACAGAACAGCGACATTCAGCAAAGTCTGTTCCTTACGATATAATCATATGGTACATCCGTTGTCATATTTACTTGACTTTATTAATGCCTGTCATGATTTATATTTGAATTTTGAATTTATATTTGAACATTATGAGAAGCATAACAGAATTTGGGTTAGAAAGAAAAACCTGCAGTTCACGTTCCAACGAGACTGCCCGATAAGAACGCCAAATTCAGTTCAGTGACGCTCACCCAACAGATCGGAGATGCTTTAACAACTCTTTTCAGCTTGCTTTTCAGGGGAACCTTAAGACCTGAGCGCTGCTTCTGAGAAGTCCAAAGGCAACTAAGAAAAGGCAACTGGTCTTCAGTAAGCTCAAATTCACTAGGCAGGGTTTGGCGCCCCCCCCCTTGGAACATCTCTAAGGTGCTGCAAACAAACGGAAAACCCAAAAAGCTCAAACCTCCCCTCTCTATAGTAAAGGAGATGAGATGGGACTTAGCAAGTGAAAAGCATTTGTCCTTCTAGCAGACAGATTCAAGGTGGCATTTATAATTCAGTTCTCTTGTAGGAAACAAATTTGTTTCACAAAATGAAGCAAGCCTCTTCAATGAACAGCTGGTGCACAATTTCTCAGCTCAAATGAAAGTGAGTAAAAATGTGGAGCTAAGATCAAAACCTAGAGCATGGGCCAGTCTCATTGCAGTACAACCATTTAGTTCACCTCTCAGGTTGGATTTATGCAATTTTCTTCTAGCAGTTAGACGAGCAATAAGCCAATTTTTTATTGCTTTTTTTTGCTTTTAAAATAATTATATGCTTGTGAATTAGGTTTTCTGATATTGAAGGAGACCTTTCTGTTGATTACTTTGCTGGATATATACTAAACAAGGATTATCCTGTGGGCAAGAGGATCTGCAAGCTGCAGAAGCCAAAACATGCAGGTGTCAATTGTTTCTGACATATGTGTTGGACTGATTGTACCAGCTTTTATTATTTTAGTGTCAGAAGCGTCCGGGTGCAGCTGTGGAGCCTTTTCTCTACTCTGTCTATAGGCAGTCCAGCGCCTAATTCATAGGAACTGGCCAGCATCAGGTGTCACGCAGCACAGGCTGATGAAAAACACATGTCTATGGAGGTTAAAAAGAAAAAAAAAAAGTCCATATTACAATTTCGACTTAGTCACGACATCGGGAAGAAAAAAAGACCAGGCTCCCCTCCTCTCTCTCTCTCTGCTTCTGCCAACAAAGAACTGCTTGTTTCACTTATTTCCCAGAAACAGCATTAGCCTTCCAACAAGGTCAGCAAAAAATGCTGCTTTTCAGTTCGGGTGCTTTTTGTTCCAAAAATCTGTAAAGTATTAAAGCAAAAAGTTGTACTATCCCAGTGCACAGAGAGTCCTTTATTCAGATTTCTGGGCTGAAAATAGTTATACAGAAATTTCTCAACAGTTTCTACTGGTAAGGTCTGCGATAGGCACATTTAACTAACGCTTCCTCTCTTCAGTGCTTCAGGCCTAAAAAAAAAACCTGCAGGTGCAGCAGCAAAGCTAGGAATTAGCAGAAAATTGTTTAAAAGATTAGAGATTTACTCTATAGGCACTTAGATCTTTTCCTTTTAAGAATATTTGAATATTGAATAAATAACAACGAACAAATAACAGTGGGGGCTGTCTGACCGGAGAGACAGCTTAAATGCTAACGACCGATTCCTGATGACCATTATTATTTAAAATAATTATTATACGTTGTTTACTTGTAACTGTTCTGTGGCATCTTTAGCTTTTGCGTTTTATTCACTTGGAAACTATGCAAGGGACGTTCCACTCCTGCGCTAGCACACGCTTGCACTGTTAACCTTGAAGGGAAACGCTTATACCACTAGGAACTTCTTTCCACTTACAAATTACTAGATTTTGAAAAAATACCAACATCTCTTCTGAACACATCGACCTTCAATATCTCAGATTCACTAGACAGTAAGTTGCTGGTTTAAAAGTGTTCTTTGAGACATCTGGATTTAATCTACCTGCTACTGAAGTTGATTGCTATTAGTCTCTACGGCTGATACTGACTGCCCTTAAAATATGAATAAATTACTCCATTTGAAATCTGCCTCATAAATTACTTCTTGGAGGTTTTTTAACTGCAAATAATCAAAATACATTCTTTCCCAAAGCTGTGCGGTAAATCCTCACTCCCACAGAACGTGCAGATCCTCCACACTGGTTCCAGCTCTCCTCTACGTCTTACTTCATCAGCCAGAAACAGGTCCCAAAATTATTCACATTGACCACATCTGAATTGTGTCAGCTCCCTTAGGATACCCAGTAATTAAACATGACCTGTAACAGGAAGCCTATCTACCGTGCAGGTGGTGTACGGATACAGGTTACAGGTGGGGAAAAAAGCGTCCCTCTCAGTATTATGTATTTCTAGCCAAAATTCCAGCCAAAACAAAACAAGTCTCACAAAGTCTAGACCACTTCACGTACGTTAGTTTTCGCTAAAACATGTACTGCCTATTTTTAAACACCTTGGGAGTTTGTGTGTTATCTCCAGGGACTCACTTTGACACTGCAACCAAAACTGCATTTTATCATCTTCAAACAATAGCAGCTACACCTCTTTTATCATGGCAGGATATGGAAACTTTGGTTCATGTGTTTATTGCTCTTAGGCAGGATTACTGCAACGTTTTATTGACTGGATTTCCTGGCTGATTGAAAAAATGAAAGCAGGTGCAAAGTGCCATAACCCCAAGTTGTATCCAGAACCAATTAAATTACCCGCAGCAACACAGCTGAAGACTAAACTTTTCAGATTCACAGAGGAATTTCTGCAGCACAAACAGCTGTCAGTGTAAGGTGCTCTCCACGTTAAATTCTATTGTTTAATACATAATGTCTTTCACCATCTAGAACCACTGTATTTCATTGCTAAAACTATCCTCCTCCAATCACTTGGCTCACGCCTGCTGGTAAATCTTGATAAAGGAGTAAGCTTCTAATGGAAGGAGCTTTATCTTCTTCGGTAGAAAAAATCCAAATGATTCTTCACCCGCCGTTCAATACAATAAGTTAATATCATTGAACTGTCAGGATCAGTGACCCCAAAGAGATTAAAATCAGGCTCTCCATTGTTTTATGCCTGAATGTCTTGATAACGTCCCTAGCTTCTACCACAGATGTGCCATGAATTTTTTTTTTTTTAATACTCTGCATTTACACATGCTCTAATCAGGTGAAAGACATTATCAAGTGCAAACAAAAGCATATGTAGCACCATTCTCTCTCTGCCAGAAAACTGTTCTCTAGTCTTAAATTCGTATTACACATTCTGAAATTCCACCATCTGGTGTTCATGATATAGCACCTACTTGTTTACGATGCCAGCCTCCTATCTGGTAAAAGTGTGGAAAGAATTGCACCAGCATCCTCTGATCTGTCACAGAGGTTTTCAAGACCTGGCAGGTTAAGCCCTGAGCAACCTCATCTGATCTCACAGCTGACCCTGTTTGATCAGGGGTGGGCAAGGCATGAGGCCCCCTCCCACCCAAATTATTCTGTGATGCTACGACCTTACGTTTTGCAAGGCCCCAGTCCTCTGCAACGTGTGGGAACTCATCCAGTTTTCCTCCCTTCCCCAGAGCAGGCACCCTTGCCTTTGCAAACTCGTAACATTGCTGCTTTCCTTTCAGTAGCTGTCCCTCGATTCAGTACAGTTGCATGAGTTCTCAGTTTCTTATAATACTCCTAAGAGGATGCCACTAGCCCATAACTGTTAAAAAAGCAGCAGCGCAGGCACAGATTAAACAGTCTGCTCCAGATACAAATGGACTATGAGAAGACTGGAAACCTCAGGAATTACAATTTTAAGCATCTTTATACTATTTTCTTTTTTTTTTTCTTGCAAATGTATATGTTAATGAATTCATCTTTGCAGAACCTAAGAGAATGCGTGGTTAAGAAGTATGTCAGCGATCAGAATTAAGAGCGATCCAGGCACGTTTTCTTAAGACTGGATTAGCTGGGCCAAGAGATCACGTACACTAAGATAGTAATTTATAAGTTATGAAGTTAACAAGTTATCAACCATAATACATTAGGAAGAAGAAATAGGACAGGGAGAACAAAGGGCAAGAGAAGATGGCTCAGCACTAACGTGTAAGGTGTGGGATGGGAGCTCCTACACAAAACACAGCTCTGCTCCAGCTCTCTCTGCTTCATCTCCTCGGCACCTCTTCCCTGACAGCCAGCTCACACCCCACAGCAGCTTTCAGGAGCACGTGCACCTATCAATCACGTCTCTGGGCAAAGACTGCTGAGGCATCCAAGCTCTCTCCGTGCCAGAAATGGAAAACGCCAAGCGGTGAAGTCAGGTAGAAATCCCATTTCTGCTGCTGCTGCTGGACTACGAACAGCGAAGAGAGAGGCAAAGATGATGGCAGCACCGGAGGAAGGTTAGGGCTACAAAGATGATTAGAGGGCTGGAGCACCTCTCCTAGGAAGAAAGGCTGCGAGAGCTGGGCCTGTTGAGCCTGGAGAAGAGAAGATTGAGAGGGGATCTGATCAACGTGTACAAGTATCTGAAGGGGGAGTGTCAAGAGGATGAGGCCAGCCTCTTCTCTGTGGTGCCCAGCAACGGGACAAGAGGCAACGGGCACAAACTGAACCACAGGAAGTTCCATCTGAACCTGAGAAAAAACTTCTTCACTGTGAGGGTGACAGAGCATTGGACCAGGTTGCCCAGAGGGGTAGTGGAGTCTCCTTCCCTGGAGATATTCAAAACCCGTCTGGACGTGATCCTGGGAAATATGCTCTAGAGGACCCTGCTTGAGCAGGGAGGTTGGACTAGAAGATCTCCAGAGGTCCCTTCCAACCTAAACGACTCTGTGATTCTGTGAAGCGCCGGGGACGTGCAGCCAGGCTGCAACTCCCTGAATTCAGCTAGAGCGAACGCGCATTGAACCACACTACTGAGTTAGACTGAAAGTCCCTATTCTCTCCCGAATAAACTCAAAGGCATTTTACAAAGTGGCAGAAGGCCAAAAAACTCTCAAACCACTGAACTCAGGGTACGACTTAACACACAGCTGGTCACTTGGACAGGACCTGGAATAACTGTGCCTTGCGAAGTCTGTCTGCTTCTCACAAGTGTAGCAGCTGAGTTAGGAAAAGATACCACTTCTCCCTTTACACCTTAATTCCACAACTGGCCGTATCATGGCATGCCACTTTGCCAAGAAGGCCAAGTTTTTTGCAGCCAGAGCCTGTTTTTTTCTTAGAAGCTTCCTAAGTATCTCAAGCATATAAATTCAAGCTGATTTATATAGAAAATATAAATACTATGAGAAGTTTTTGTTACTTTATGTTAAAATACTTTGTAGACTGTTAAACAATAATTAAATGAAGGCCAGACTGTGCTCACTAACCGGAGGAGGAGTGCAATCACAAAAGAAATCTCATTAAAGCAGTTTGAAGGCGGCAGGATGAAAATAAAAAAAAGGGTTTTTTGGAGAGTTGCATAACATAGACTAGAGGAGGACTACAAAACAAGTAGCTGATCATCTTAGTAGTTAATTAAAAATTGTTGCAAAAGGCAAAATTTTTTAAAAGGCAAAAGAGCTCATTCTTTTCCCAGAACTTTCATACACACAGCCAAAAGCACGCTCCACAGTCTCCTCGCCCCAGTGGCTGCCGCTAAGGCACGCTAGCTTCCCCTCCCTGGCAGTCCGGCAGCGCCAGGGGGCAATTTAGTCACCTAAGCCAGGCAGTAGCTTGGCAATCAGCCTGGCTGCAGGGCAACTGCGCTCGCAGGAGGTCTGCCGAGCCTGGGCCCCCACTCAGGGACCCTAAAACTAGGGTGTACAGGTACCCCTCCCACCACATAAAGGTTTTTTGGTTGGTTTGGTTGGTTTTTTTCAGCAAGGGCAAACTGATAGAGAGTCCACTTACAGCTTACTTTTAGGTAATATTTTATCAGTCAGCTGAGAAAGCTTAATTTATGTTTTTAGACCAGGCAGAAAGCAGATCCATGTGCAGATTCAGCACCAAACTAAGCAGTCTATATGCAGCACTTAAGAAGAGCCAAGAAGTGCAGTGCTTCCAGTCTTCTTCAGAGACTGATCATTTTCCCGGCCGCAGTCCAACAAAAAAAAAGTATAGTTAGAAGATTCCTGTTGACGTTCTTCTTTCCATCTACTGTCTTAGGGCAAAAAAAGGGTAAAGCGTTTAGAAAGGGTGACTGGGCAAGTCTGAATATTTGCTAACCTGCAACGTTTTCAGTACCTGAGACAAATTTCCCTTACCTTTCATGAAACTGTATTGACTTTAGTGGTCTTGTGTAAGCGAGTGCAGAAATCGGCCTAGCATACATTAGTTTTATGTAAATGTAGCTGGCAGCTTAACAAGAGGGCATCAAAGAAAGAAATGCCTTCAGATACCTTTATTACGTAACGTTTAAAAAGGACTGCTTTAAATGTTAGTGAGAAAGCCAAAGCGGTAAAGTTATAGAAAAACAGAGATGTCTAGCTCATAAAGGGACGACATAAAACCACAGTTAAAAAAAAAAATTATAAAAAGGACAGCAGACTTCTTAAGGTATGCCTACACATTTCAATGAACTTTCGCTGTATGAGCACAAGCACACGAGGATGTGGTATCACTTAGTCACACTATTTGCCTTCGACAGAATGTCAGTAAGTGCTTTGTATGCTTCCCAGAAAATATAGCTGGAAGGAGGTTATAAACTAAAGCAACAAGCTGTACAGAACAGACCGTATTTTCCATCTCTCCACAAGAAGCATAACAAGGAAAACACATGTGTTAGTAATTGAAAGTGCAGACCAGAATTCAGACCTGGAATACTTAAATCCCTCTCTTGTAGGTGGCACATCTTCAAAAGAAAAACTTATTATTTCTTTAATCCCTACAGTACCAAAAAACGCTAAGGCAACAGACAGAGGCATAGTCTTCATTTGCAAAAAAGTCATGAACCAACTCTGGCCAGAAAGGAGGTTTCACTTGTTATCCAGTTTCCATTTTTCCTGTGATGTCTGCAAGATGTTGGCACAACCACATCTGGCTTGGAGGCCTGACCGCTAGCCCAACCAACTGCTCAGTGCAGTGTCTGAGCACAGCAGAGAGAGCAGGTTCAGCAGTAACACTGTGAGTATCACAATTGACCAGAAAGGTATATCCCTTCCTTTTGGCCAAGATAGTTTCAAAATAGAGACATTCTAATTTAGCGCTGGAAACTGTACTCACATGTAGTTTAAACTGGCACATGAAGTATTTGGAGGCTACTGTAACCTGCTCAGAATACCACAATCTTGTAATTTCTGTACACTTTCTAGATAAATAATTTTGTCACGTTTTTACATCAAATGGTATTCCCATTTGGTGTGGTCGTTCAGATAGATTGGAAAAGGAGGAACTGTGATGCTGGATTTAATAAAGGGGCGCTGAAAGCAATACCCTACTGTATAGCCAGATTTGCTTGCTCCTAAAGCAGTGTCACAGCATCCCTTTAGAAAGACACTAGAACCACACAGAGTTCACCCAAACGCGTTGATAAAATGTTTCTTCGTTAAACAGACATGGACGCAGTGGAAATGTGTACATTTCATTTGCAGTATACTAGTGTTTAGGAGATTCAGTCACAGGCTAGATCTCACTGTGCTAAGTGCTGTACAAATACATAAGAAAAACATGGTACCTCATCTACACATGTGAGAGGTACTTAATGAAATATATTCTGTATTTGATGTGACAGATTTTGAAGTCTGTGGAAATGTCCCTTTTGGGCATCCAAAGTCCCTTCCAGAAGAGGCTCAAATCGAAACCCTCAGAGTATTATTGACTTTCCTTTCGAATCCTTTGTATCCTGAAAAAGACCCTCCTCGAAGCTTCAATGTACAAATATTTCAGTATGGGAATTAGCTTTCATTCGCTTCCACTCACGAATCTGGGGAAAAACCTTACTGTCCTGATTCATGGGATCTTCTCTGTTTTTTAATTATATGGAACATTAACAGATGTCAACCTAAGCTGAAGAGCTGGTAAGAACGAAAAAACACCCTACTCCCATTCCTTACCTCTGGGTTACTTCAAAATTGCTATGAAGAGACTGATCTAAGTGCAGCTGTGGTGTGAAAAAACACACACAGACCAATTGTTAGTCTTGCCATGTAGCACGACACACTGCAGTACATCCTAGCCTTTTGGAGTTTACTCAGGTTTCTTCTTCAGACGTCCACTCTCATGATACATCTGCTACTGTCCGCTGACTCACGTAACACAGCCAGCAACAGCTTTGCACTGCGCATATTCAAGGAGGACGCTTGTCGGGAAAAAGCAAGAGGAAAGAACGTGGTATAATTTACCTCAGGGGACAGCCTACGTGCTGTTTATAAATTCAAGACAAAAGTGAATAGCTATTTTGTATTACTGCTCTTGGTGGCCACTGGTAGCCAAAAGTTTACTCGAGTTTTCTTGCTATGTCACGAGAAAGTCCTGATGAACTGCACTGCACATGAATAATCACGGAATCATGAGACCAACCTATCAAAAATTAACCTGAACTGGAATCTGGTTTGTGTTTTCAATACTACCTATTTGAGCTAGCTGTATGATTTTGAGCCTACAAGCTGACCTATTTGTTCCTCGTTTTCTTCAGATATAGAAAAGTTAAAACTACTAGGATTTGAACCGCAGGAGTGAAAGATAAGAGATTTGTAAGTCTCAGTTATGCATGAAAATGTTTTCCTCCACTCGCAGCTTTTCTTTACAATCTTTAGAATTGTCATGGCTTTTTTTTTTTTTTCATTAAGGCTCATATCCAGCAAAATTAGAGGAACATTAGTAGATGCTTAAAGTAAAGCATGAAGTGAAGAACAGGAACACCACATAAACCATGCCACTAGAGAAATTCTTCAGGTAATTCATACTATAAAATAGACTTCTCTAGAGCAAGTCTATCCTAAAATAGACTAGCTTGCAGTGCAGAACCTAATTATGAAGAAAAAAAAAAAAAGCAACAGCTACAACCTCTGACCTGAACAAATACAGGAAAGACTGCAGACAGATTATCTGAGCAGCACTTTGCACAGTAAGTTTTGACAATAATATGGTAGGCTTGCAGGGGCCTTAGAGCATCTCTGCATGAAAAATCACAGGAAGAGTTTATTTTTCTATGTTCAATGCTACGGCAGAAATTTGTCATCGAGGCTCCAAAATAATATGCGTAAGATTTTAGAACTTTACTTCAAACAGTGCCAATTCCCTTGCTGCCAACTCTACAGCGGGAAAAAATAAAAAAAGGAAGTGGAGAACATACTGTTTGGCTTGATAACAGATTCAGAGCTACTGTTTCTGAAGCAAAAATTACTTTGGCGAACAAATATAATAATATATAATTATACAATAAAAGGTGTCTCTCTTCTCCTGTTTTTTTTTGGTATTTTCACCAGAGAGATGACATCCAGTACTCACCGAGATTTGGCTGAGACATTGCCATAGACCTCTGTGGCATTGGTGTGGAAGTAGCTGCAGGATGGTGGCTCATGTGATTCAGTGGCTGGTTCATAGTTTTTCGAGGATCTTGCCATGTTGTAATTTTTTCTATATGACTGAGAAAGGAAAGATAAAACACAAGATTAGCAGAAAATACCCCAAGTATATTATACACACGGCTAGACATAATGCCATAAAAGACCCAATTGTTCCTCTTATTTCATATTTACCTACCCTTCTCACCTCACCCTAATCCATTTGAAGTTATCTATCTTCTTGTCATTTATTTAACCCTTGAACAATTTCTTTTCTTCTGATCTTCTGTCTCCTGCCATTTTAACTCCTTATGCATTACTGTTGAACCAATTACATTTACTGGAATGAATGGTGAATTCCATTATGATACTGAAGACCTACAATACACACTCATCTTTCACCTATTCCATTGTCCAAAAGTTGTTTACTCTTATTCTACCAGTCGTCTTCTACACACTCAAACATATGCCTGTTTCCCACGCGGGAACATACAGTCCTTTTGCCGGGTCTGCCTGTCTTGATAAGACCAGTGTTTTTCTTGCTAAATCCAACTGGTTTTGTTCCTTGCCCCTCCATGAGAACCAGCATGGCTTTACGCTTTCCAAGAATACCAGAATATAGTCTCATGGCTGAAAGGTGCAGATTATATCCTGATAACCAATGTGTATTGCTAATCTCTCTGTAAAGGCAGTTTTTATTGCAATGAAGTTAATGTAGGTCAACAATCGACTCCTCTACTATGTTAAACTTCCTCTAGCTGCATTATAAAAAAGCTAGAGTATTGCTCTGCATGAGATGTTACAGTCGAGATAACCACAGTATTATCACCGTAAATTTTTTTTTTTTTTGGGCTACAGAATGCAGCGGTGAAGGAACTGCTTTTTTGTTGCAACTGAAGGTTTTCATGGAAATAAACCAGTTTTGACAGAAACTTTTATCAGGACAAGGATTTTAAGGATCAGCATGTAATCCTGTTTGAAACTTGAAAAGGAAAGAATTATTTTAGAGTAATCAATAGCCTGGTATTTAGTGATCCCTGGCTGTCGTGATTCCATCCTGGCATGTCCAGCTTTCTGCCACTGACTAACCAGGTTACTACCGATCGCTGGCTGGCCTTGCTCAGGTTTCCCTCTGTTATTTTTTCCTAGAAAACTTTAGAAGAGGTAACTTCTTCAAGAGGAACGTGTAAAGGGTAAAAGTTTTAAAAGCTCTGCAGGACAGGAAAACCATTCGAATCCACCTTTCATGAAGCGCAGCCTGACAGTATCTTCACTGAACTCAGTTTCAAACTTCTCACTTCTACTTCTGCTACGGCAGTCACCGCTCCGTGTCTCCAGGCGGAGTTGCTAGCTAGCAGCGTTTCACAAGCAGGCTTCGACCTACTGTGGTGTTGCCACGTCCAAGCTCTTCAAAGTCAACCTCTAACATCAGTAAAAATATTGTGCATCACAAGCAGGATAAAACCAAGAACACGCTGAACTATTTTTTAAAGAAAGGAAAAAGGTGACACTGCCTTTACTTATTCCATATCCATCTTCTTTTTCTAGTATTTCACATTTAGCGTGCGCTCCCAAAAGATCACGCTGTCACTTCTGTGCTTGTCTAAAACGCAGCCTCTAAGCAGCTAGCTCGCTCCCCGGCTTCGTAACTTCCAGAGCTCTTTGCTTATGTTGCTAACAGCAAAACCACCCGCCTTTTCTTCTCCTCGGCACCCAATCATGTTATTCTCCTTTTCCGGTAAATCTTTCCCACATCGTTTTTTATTGTTCTCTTGAAATCCGGCGAGGAGCAGCACTGTGAACGGCAGATGCTGTGGGAGCGCTCAGCTGTGCTCACGCGAGGGGGAAGGCGCTCGCTCCGGCGCCCAGCTCCCTCGTTTCTGGCTCCAACTCCAGTGCAGGCGCCACACTCACCAAAGGTGCGACTTTCGGAATACCAGCCTGTAACAGGAAATATTATTCCCCAAGTAGGAAGAAAAGCGTTTTTAAATATAAGCTTCGGCGATTAATAAAATATTGCCTTGATGAAGCTTTATCAGAACAGATCTTTCACTTCAAAGCAATTTTTATAATCCTTTCAAATTTAAGCAAAATGTAAAAATTAAAATCAGGCTTTTTTCTCTAAGGTTCCTCTCTAGAAACTGAAAGCATAAATTCCTCTTCGGCAAACTGGAAGCACAAATTAAAGCACGTATGAAGTCAGTTGTATTAAGCAACCCAGAACTTGTTTGAACGCGTCCTTCGCGCTAACCACAAATCTGAAACCTTAAACTGCAACTGCCCGTTTCGTACAAGGAGCCATAACAGGAAACACATGATAACAGAAACACACGAGAAAAACCAAAACAGTCACCTTTACAATCACCTTTACAATTCACTTTGGTTATCAAAGCTCCTTCCACAACGACGGTCGTTGTTTTCCACGTTTAGATGAGAGCTACAAACACGTGGAGTCATGTGCCTGAGCCCGCATTTGAGATTTTCAGTATTCCTCCTATGTGTATGTTTGGGATTCTTTAGTTGTTACTCGTATGCATAAAAAGGCTCTTAATCTGCATTTTAGTTACTCTGACAAGCTTTAAAAGTGAAGCTATCTAAGCGAGTAACTAACGATTTCTGTTAGCTCTACCCAAAAAGTTATCCAACGTAAACTCGGACCAGAGTGGC